TTCCCGACAACGACCCGATGCCGAGGCTCCACTGCTCTGGCGAGAAGAACGATGATGGCGTTGTGGTTCGATTAATCACAATCTATATATATATATAGGAAGAAGATAGATTACAGGAATTTGGGGGAAGTGGATTTGGGAAAGTAGATGGATTACGGGTTATAAATACACAAATATGTTTGTATATTATACAGAGAGATTAAGAGTTGATCTTTGCACCTTCTATTTTGTATTTTGTGATACTTGATAACTTTATTTTGAGCACCATGGTGGTGGTGGCGGTGGCCACGGCTATGGTAAGGCTGTGAAATGGTGGTGGTGGGTGTGAACTGGTATGAGTATAGTTTTTAAGGTATTTTGGTCATTAAAATATAGTTGCATTGGGTAAATTGGTAATTGAATGTGTCGAAAGACAATAATGTCAATTCACGACCATTGGGGTGTCTTTGTTAACTTTATCAAATCTAAGGGAGTGTCTTTGTTCAAAAAACGGTTAAGTTATATATGACTGTCAATAGAGTAAATCTCAGGGGGTGTCGTTGTAATTAACCCAAAAAAAATTTACCATCAATTTACGTTCGCATGATTGTTTTCTTATTTAAAATTATTGACTTTGGCCAAATCTTGCCCTCAAAAAAATGATTTAAATATAATACCCACATATTTATATAAAAAAATTAAAAATAAAAAATTAGTTGGGTCCGTGATGGTTTTAGGTTCTCTATCTCAAACTTATTTAATCTCTCAAATTTTGTAGTTATCAATAATTGTCTTGATGAATCTAGGGTTAGATAAAACACCACCATCTTCTAGTAAGCTCTAAAGCATGGAGAGTCCAGCCTGTATGATACCTATGTTGTCTACTTTCTCATATAACCTGCAGATATATATATATATATATATATATATATATATATATATATATATATCTGCAGGTTATATGAGAAAGTAGACAACATAGGTATCATATATATATAATTGTATCAATCAATTGAATTATTAGGACTCTAATTAATATTCATAGAGTGAAGCTGATTTGAGTGAGTTTTGGACATCGGCCTAATCTTCAGCTGAGAAGATAAAATAAAAAAAAAAAATTTCTTCCTAATAGGTCAACGTGATCCACATTTTTCTACCAACCAAATCTCAAGATTCTCATATTTTTTTATATATTTGTTTATTTTATTTATTTAACTTTCGCCAGGCCAAGCAAATATATACTATATATGCAAGGCAAATGTATAGTTAGTTAGGGGCAACCCATCAGTAAGGGCATGGCCCAAACGAACAAGCATAGGCCCAACAATAATTGAACCTAGATACACAAATCTAATTCAAAGGAGCCCATCGCCATAGATACAAACAATTCAAATCAAATAGCAACCGTTTTGTAGTGGCTATCCAAAACTTTCGTGGGCTCGATGAATACTCTCTCTGGAAGAGCAAGTCAATATCAGGCCGACGGCGAGGACCACGGCGTACATGGTTCGGAGAGATATTTTGGACTTGTTGGGTTTGTAATTCTGAAAATAGTTTTTAAAAACTTAGAAAATAGAAAACAATTTTTAGAAAATAATAAAAGACGGTTATCTGAAAATATAATTTTTTATACTTGAGTTTTCATAAAATTAAACCAAGCAAAGTTTTTTTTTGTATAGTTTTCTGATAAAATAAAACGGTTTTTAGAATTACAAACCAAGCCCATCATTTCTCAAGAAGGAGGCATGATTTCAAACAGTCTTTTAGTACCCTAGTAGAGAGCTTTGATTAAATCGAATAATAATTCAATTAGAATACTTCCTTATATTTCGTTCTCTCCATATGTGATTTCTTCGAATCAATAATTCAATGTTCATTTTGTTAATTTATAATTTAAGCCTTAGCATGAAACTTATTATGGCCCTCATTTAAATTAGAATGGATTTTTATTTTTTGTGAGAGTCGAAATGAAGACGTCCAAATTTATGACCCTCCCTTTAACCATTGGATCCAGGTTCATTTTATACGTATTAATTCGATGCTATTTAACATTAAATTTTGTAAGCATACTACGTACACAATAATTTAGTGGTGAGCATGGATCAGATGACACCATCATTGTCCTGCTCTGGAGTTAGGATTAAGATGTTATGCAAAGGCCTCGAAACGCTATCAAGCCGGCCCTATTTAACCTATCACAATTCACATGATCAGGTACACTTATATTGTGATGACTTTGTAGGCGAGTGTTAGATACTGATAGGCTATTATACTGGCAAATTATAGGTACAACTGTAGGTCGATGGCTACCTAAGGAAACTCCGATTCGATCTCCCCCCGCGGCTGGGAGGCACCTGCCTCATCCCGATCACAAGGAGAGGTTCACCATGATGGGGGTACTTCTTTTTTGTCCTTTCGGAAAGAATGAATAATCCCACATCGCTTGGGAAAGAGAAAGGGAAAGTGCTCATATGTAGGTGTGCCATTCTAATTGGTACGAGACTTTTTGAGATAAAATCCAAAAGCAAAACTGTGCGGGTTCAAACCCAAAACAAAAAATATCGTACCGTGTAGTGGAATGATATTGTCAGATCACTCAAAGTCCTTTTTTATATTTTTCTTTTCTAGAGTTATATGTTTTGCTATGATCTTGAAGAACATCTGAATTGGAAGCTTAGACTATACATTTTCTAATTCATTTTTTATTTATTTATTAAGACTTAGGATAACCAACATTCTTCTTATTCTTCTTTGGTTTACGTTTTTCTCCATCCTTTTAAGAAAAGTTCATATATAAAAACATTAAATTGAGAATGTGATAATAACTATCAAATTGCAACAATATTATACTCTTAATTTAATAATTTCTTAATATTGCATCGATATAGTTTTTTTTTTTTGTTTTTTTTTTTTGTAATTATCCGGGTTCATATATTACATGTGAGCTCTTAATAATATATAATAATAAGACATATTAGTGAAAGAATATTAACACAACCCAAGTCCTAAATTACGCCCTCTATCCAAAACAGAGTACAAAATACGATAAGAATTTTGTAGCAGCTCCGTCCTCACTATTAGAACAGATTTTTGTATTTAAATTGTATCCTTATATCAAACAAAGGAATTCATTATTTTTGAATTAAGAAAGATAACAAAATTTAATGCAAAGTGAATTCATCTAACTTTCACCATAGGTCGAGTCTAGGCTTGGCCCATTGGGCCTGAACTTGACCAATTTGATGGACCCGCTAGAAAGAAGTCTACAACAAGTCAAAAAGGTTTTTATTTTATTGGTCGTGTCTTTCAAAAAGAGGCATATGAGATTCTGCGACCCGAGCTCGCCCTTTCGATTTCACAAATGAATTTTGTCTGCCCGGCCGCCACCCTTCGATTGCACAAATGAACTTTGTCTCCGCCGCCGGCTTTAGAAATTCCACAAATAAAACTTGTGCACTCCTTCATCAACTCTTCAGTATAGCTGTCAAACTTATATATAAAAAAATATTTATAGCATATCATATATTTTAATAACTTTTACTTTATCAATTTGGATTGTCATTTTTAACTAACTTAAAAATTTTGACATTTTTATTTTTAATTACGATAGATAGGAACATGAAGAATCCCGTAATGATAGGAGTCTCGTACCATTTGTTTGTCATTTGCAGCATAAAAGGAGCACAGGCTGTGCCTATATAAACTAGAGACATATGGGTTCTACTCTAGCATGCACAAATACTATTAAAGTGTAGTAACTATATGAGTGATGGGCTGGAGAGGGATATTGGGTTTTGAGTATGGAATAGTTCAGGCACCACTGGGAGCTGATATTTCAGGTCCTGAGCTTGTAGCTGCTGTTGCTAATGCTGGTGGACTCGGCATACTTAGAGCCCCTGACTGGGTATTTTTTTCTTTCTTTCTTTCTTTCTTTCTTTATCTTCTTTAATTAAATCTGATCATTAGTGAAACCCACCTGTTAATTTTCTTTTTTGGATATCTTTGAATGATCTATTATTATGTTCTATGTGTGTGTATATATATATTTACATTTTCCTTTAATAGGACAGTTCATATCTGCTCTTAAACTGTCAAGGGACCACCTCATTTTTTTCTTCTTCTTGTTTTCCTTTAATACGGTGGATTGTGTAAAAAGCTAAATAAAATTGTTACAAATGAGAAATTCTACCGTACTCCTAAAATATTATCGTGTTATCGATTGACCGGGATCATATAATAATTTCTCATTATTATGGACCATTATAAGTATATTCTTTATCTGATAATATTGTTTCTTTTCTTTGCTGAATTATGAATTTGACGGGTTGATTTGGAATAATTTATTCCATGCCTTCTCAAGTTAATTTCAACTTTTATATACGTACTCAACTAACATTAAAAAATAATAAATAAATAAAACTCTTCAATACAGATTTATTTCTTTGATTTTTTATCCTTATATCAAATCATGATTGTTTATTTGTGGACTGAAAAAGAAAGATAAAAAAAAAATTACAAGTATTCTCAATTAAAAAAACAAAAGCAAAAATCATAATTATTTACCCTGTTTTTTTTTTTTTTTTTTTTTTTTTTTCTCTGTTATTTTGCTTTCAAATTTTTGAAAACAGGAGACATTATTAAACATAATTTTATTTTCAATTTCAGCTCCAAAAAATCAAAATATTTTAGTTTTGGCAAAACTTTTATAATACTGCCACTGCATAATGGGCCGATCTAGACTTAGACCCATTAGCATATAGTAGGCCTAGTGGCAATAGTTGGGCTTGGGTTCGCCCAAGTTGACGGACCGACAATATAAGTTTGGAATTGAAGTAAATTTATTCCATGGTCTCAAATATAAGTACAAGTTTCATTTTATTGTCTTCTGTGTTTTTTAATTAATATAAGTGAAAGTAATTTATTTTAATAAATTCTATCACTACATTAGCATTAATAAATTAATAAAATCTTATCACTACAAGTAAACGCAATTAAATTTTCACATAGAGATACGAAGAACCGCGAGCACAAATCAACTTTGCCTCTGCTGCCGGCTTTCTATTTCACAGATCAACTTTGTCTTTGCCGCTGCCTTTTCTTAAACTAAAATTGTTGTGTAGGAGGGAGGTCTACCCATTCATGAATTCGAAAGAGTGTTAATTTTAATATTTAAATCTCTAACACAAATCTAATATTGTAAGAAATCTTTTGTTTAAAAATTAAAAAAAATAAATTATATAAGAGTAAGAAGGGAGAGCTATATATATACATATAATACACACATACACAATACTATTAAAATTGACAATTATATAGAGAGAGAAAAGAGTTGAGAGTGATGGGGTGGAGAGGGATTTTGGGTTTTGAGTATGGAGTAGTTCAGGCACCACTGGGACCTGATATTTCAGCTCCAGAGCTTGTAGCTGCTGTTGCTAACGCTGGTGGACTAGGTCTACTCAGAGCCCCTGACTGGGTAACTCTTTATTTCTTCTTTAATTCACCTGTTCCTTTTATTTTTCTGGTTATGTTTGAACCATATGTTATTTGCTTCTCTAAATTTTCATTTTCGTTTCTTTTAATGCTATATAACTGCTCTTAAACTGTCATGGGTCCACCTGATTTTTTTGCTTCTTTTTCTTGTTTTCGCATTAAAAGTCATTTTTCATTTTCTGTCGATTTTTATGTTATGAGGCAATCTCAAATTTCCTGTATGGATTGTGTAATTGTCAAATAATGAAACTAATAACTATTTTTATGGGCCATTAATTTTGTGGTATATTCTTTACATGAGATGTTGTTTCTTTCTACTAGAATGAAGTTGTGGCTGAATTATGAATTTGATGGGTTGAGTTTTTGAATAATCCATGACATGAAGGATATTAAATTATTTATTTAGAAATCCTCCATTCATAATTTAGTCTCAAAAGTGTGTTGTAGTACCATTGAACTTTGAAATCCTATCTAGGGTTCCTCAGGGCTGTTGTTGAAAGAAACAAACATGAAAAACTTCCAAAGAATAAAGGAATTTCTGTAATTGATGATACCTATATATCCCTTGTTTAATTGAACAAAATAGGTAATCCATGTCTTTCATTTGCTGAAAATAAATAAAGTGCCGGCTCGATAACCCATCATCCAAACAACTAGTTGTTACTTGTTTCATAAACTAATTTTACAGTTCACCTCCAATCTTCCTCTTTTATTAATATATTTTTTTTCGGGATTTTTTTTTTTTTTTTTTTTTTTGGAAGAACTGATATTTAAATCTATTTTGTATACCAGGAATCACCAGATCATTTGAGGGATCTGATACGGAAAACCCAGGCCTTAACGGACAAACCATTTGGAGTTGGTGTTGTTTTGGCATTTCCCCATGAGGAAAATGTAAAGGCTATACTGGATGAAAAGGTCTCTGTATTGCAGCTTTATTGGGGAGAATGTCCAAAGGAACTTGTCCTCAAAGCTCATCAAGCAGGGGTCAAGGTTGTTCCTCAAGTAAGTATCGTGTGGCTATTTTCATTAACAATTATTGTTTTTTTTTTTTTTTTTTTTTGTGAAGGTTAATGAAGTATTGTCATATTGCATTACAGATTTTTTTGAGATAATTGTGTTAGGCATTTTATATTCATCTTATGCTATATGGGTAAACTCCTGCTATATGGATAAACTCCTATGTGATTGTATGATTGTTGAATTTGGGCATCAACAATGAATAACAATATTTATGAGGAATGATACCTTGATTTATGCAGTTTGACTATATAATCTTTAAAATGCTGCTCACTCCATTCCGAAGTTCTTGTCCCTTTCCAGGAGTCCAATAGGTTAAGGAGGCATGCATTTAATCTATTGTCCCCTTCTGAAATTTCAAAACTATCCATTTGAAGTTTAAAAGTTTATATTGTTATTATAGAAGAAGTTTCTCAGAAGTTAATGATATTTTAGAAAATATACAACCTTTTTACATTGACTTTTCCAATGGGACATGAGCTTTGGGACATCCAAAAATGAAAAAGGGACAAGAATTTCGGGACGGACGGGATAATTATTGTTTTTTTTTTTTTTCTTTACTATCAAGTCTCAACTATCCCATCCATGAGTTGGCTTTGATTATAGAAAGCAGCTAAAATTTTATCTGCCTCGTTACTGTATTCCTTAGGTTGGGAGCTTTGAAGAAGCAAGAAAAGCTGTTGACGTGGGTGTAGATGCAATAATCGTCCAAGGACTGGAAGCAGGAGGACATGTAATTGGTCAGGTATGAGTGCTTTTTAGTTCTTGAGTTGAATATAAACTTCTCACACAATTGTGAAGATATTGTATCTTGTTTCCAAAAATTTGCCATATGACGTGATGATGCATGTTGCATATTTCACCCGAAGATTGTGAATGATAGCAACTCTGTTTCCAGAATAAACATGTAGAATTACTTTTCTTGGGATATAGTTTCACATCACAAGTTCACTTTGTACCATCTTATGTGAGGAACTGAACTTCCTACTTTAATTTCATTTCACATAAAGAGGCAGATTTGGGAATTTGTTTGCTATTAATGTGTACATGTTTGAATTTCAATGCTGGTAGATTTAATTGTTCAACATGTATGATGTTAGTACTGTATCTTGTTATTTTGATTGCAGTGCAGTGGTATTTGACTTTGACAAGTACTTCATAGAAAGCTCATTCCTTGAATATCTTTATTGTGTCATGGTCTTGTTATATACATCAGACACCAACACCTCTGTTTATGTCAATTAAGATTTCATGTTTTTGTTTTCAGAAGCTTGCTGTCAGACAATTTTACACTGTTGTCAATTGAACTTTGTTTTTGGTTCAATATTACACAGTCTATGGTAGGTCTGTAATCATCCGAACCTGAAAAAAATTTAGAAAACAATTGTGGCTCAATTTGAATGCACTTAAGCATCTATGGGAACAAGAAGAAGATGAATGTTAAGCGAATATATGGTGCGACTGGGAATCTTTGTTTTTGCAATTTTTAGATACTTATTTTTTAATAAAATAAAAGAAATTGTTGATAAATTTGGTGGCCTCCAACAACAATATCCTTGACAAGTAGTGATTACTCCAAGTTTTTATAGTTTTTTCTCTTATTGGTTATGTCCATGTCATTTTCTTAATATTCTTCAATTGAGTTTTCGAACGGTGTTGACCTCCTTGTCCTAATTATCTTATACTGTTATTTTCAGGATGGATTAATTACACTGTTGCCCAGAGTGGTAGATCTTGTTGCTGGTCGAGATATACCCATAATTGCTGCTGGGGGCATTGTGGATGAGCGTGGTTATGTTGCTGCTTTGGCCCTTGGTGCCCAGGGTGTCTGCCTAGGCACTAGGTTTGAAACAATTTCATTTGGTCCACATCTGATTAACTCTTTTAGGCTGTTCTGCCATTAATATATTTGCTTCATATTTAACAGGTGGCCTTTTGATGGCACACAATTACTAGATTATCCCATTTTGTTTCTCGTAGAGTCTTGAAATGAGGTTTTTTTTTTTTCCTTCCTCAGCACGTTAGTGACTTAACTTTTGCTTGTGTTATTTCATTTTGATAATATGCTTATGTTGTTTAGGGACATAATTTTTTAAAAGGCTGACCCCGTCTTGGAGAAAGGAAGTGAATTTTGTTAGTTGACAAGGAAAGTGAGCCTTTAAATCAAACCATTTTACAAACCAAAGCTAAAGAAGTTACGATGTTGGTCTCATACAATTAGGATAACCCTCAGTTTAGTTTAGATGAAATGAGTAGTGCACTTTTGCTTTTGGTAGGTATACTACAACTGCTCATATCCTTGAGAAAGTTTGCCAGTTCCAGTTTTGAGGAGATGGATTTTTTCTTCAAATGCTATGCAAAATAAAGAGGATTAGTTGTGTGCATATGTAATGTCCAAGCCCAATCGATTTTTTTCTTTTTTCTTTTTTCCTTTCTATGGAATATATATTCAAATTTGTTTTGATCATAATCATTCAACTCTCTTTCTATGTTGTACTGTCAGAAGACATCTACGAGAAAAGTTTCTCACACCACTTTTTTAATCATTTAATTAAGTTAAAAGTTTTATGTGAAGAGTTATGGGTATCTACAGAATATTTCTTGTCAATGTTGTTGTGTCTCGAATTATAATAACTTCAATGGTGAATTATTGTTTATATTTATCACATCTTACATGTATGGTATAGGTTTCTCGCTACCAATGAAAGCTATGCTCACCCAACATACAAGCAGAAGTTAATTGAACTTGACAAGACTGAGTACACAAATTTATATGGCCGTGCAAGGTGGCCTGATGCACCACAACGTGCCCTGACTACACCTTTCTTCATGGAATGGAGAAGTCTTCCAATTCATGAAAATGAAACTGATCAGCCGGTCATTGGCCATTCAAACATACATGGGATGGTAAAAAATCTTTCTTGCGTTTACTGTGATAATATGTATAATTTTTCTTATTTTGGATTTGTTTTTCCTTTTATTTTATTTTAATCCATATTTCAAGAATGATGTCTTATGAAACGTTTACTATAGAAGTTAGCAATAATATGAAGGATTTGTTATTTCAAATAATGCTAGAATTAATACAAAGTCATTTCATAATATATGGAGCCTAGCTAAACACTCTCCTAACTTGGTCATTGGTTCATTTTCTTCTCAACAGGAAAAAGATATCCGTCGTTTTGCTGGTACTGTACCAAATGTGACAACAACAGGTGACATTGAGAGTATGGCAATGTATGCAGGTCAAGGTGTATGCCTCATCAAGGAAATTCTACCCGCGGCTGAAGTGGTAAAGAGGCTTGTTGAAGGGGCTCAACTGCTAATTCGCCAACAATTTAAGTAATCAAATTTAAGGGAGAGCCAGTTCTAAGGTATCTCTTGGATTGTGGTAGGTTTGTAGTTACGGTCGAAGATGTTGGAAGATAATCACAAAGTTATACCATGTTAAAGAGATGGAAGGATATGGAATGCTTTACTGGAGTTCTTTGTCCTTGTAAGCTTCTCGTTCTCCTCTCTTATCATGGCAATATCAAGTTGTTTTGCTATTCAGAAATTTGTGTAACGCGTCCTTAACCTTGTTTTGTGAGGGATCACTTGTCAAATGATGAATAAAGGAAATGCTTCCAACTGGAATTACCAAGAAAAAATGTATGTAATTACCAGAAAATAATGAATAAAAGGTTAGTGATTATCAGTTACTTGAAAATCTGAAGGGACCTTTTTTTATAAGTTTTATTTTTTCATATTTTGGTGCTAAATGTTAATAATGGCTTTGATCTTGTAACATTGTTGAGCCACTTCAATTACTCAAAGCAAGTTGCAAAATTGCAATGTACTTAAAAGTGTATGCATTATCAAAATGGTTCACAATTTGTCCAAGTATTGATTCCTCCCCTTTTGTTTGCCCTGCTTTTCTTATTTGCACTCTTCTCTTTTACCAAACTGACCATGACTAATTGTTTGTTTAGGAGCTTAGGAAAGAAAAGGATGAAAAGGACAGTGTTTATCTTAGAGAGGAAATGAGAAGAAAAAATAAAAGAACTCCTTCCCTTTGTTGGGAGTTTTAGGAGGGAAAAATGAAGGACAGTAACTTTCCATTCCTTGTATAGAGGTTAATAATAAGAAAAAGGTATATTCTAAGTTTTAGCGCTCCAGTTTATATAAATGATGCCAAATTGAAAGGAAAGAAGATAGGAGGGATGCAAGAGGTATCCCCAGGAAAAGGAATGAGCCTTTCCCTCTTATTACGTGGTTGAGTAGAAAGGAAATGAAGAAAGTAGGGGATATTGCACGATTTGACCATTATACCTTGGTTAGTTTGGGGGGGGAAAAAAAAAAGGACCTAAGTACAAGGGTAAAGAAGCTAAAAGGAAAGGTAAGAGGGTTCCTTACATTCCTCTGCCCACTTTTGGGAGGAAGCAACATGGTGGGTCTGGAGAAAGATGGAAGCCCCCTCCATTTCTTTCCAGTAGCCTTTCCCCTTTTTCCTAGCTAAGGAAATTTCCTCCTCCTCCTCCTCCTCCTCCTCCTCCTTTGCCTACTCACTTATTCCCTCCATTCCTTCTGCTACCAAACACCCTGCAGCTGCAAGTGAAAAAAGGAGTGAATTGAAAACGGCCAGATATAAAAAGGAAGGGTAAGACGGGCTTTTCCTAACTCACTTTTATTCCATTTCATTTTCTCCCTCTTTTTGGAGGAAGCAAAAGTGGGACTGGAGGAGATTCTTCATCCCTCCATTTCCTTTTGTCTCTCCTTGGCTTAAAACTCCCAAATGCGGAATGAGAGCACTGGAAGATAAAAGTAGAAAAAAGAAGCCTTGTTGGGGAAAATGGGTAAAAATTATGACATATAATAAATATCATCACAAGGATTCTCTCATTCTAGCATATAAACTCTGCCAAACAAAATGATTTGGGACAGCCGAAACCCTGAATCTGCTACGGCCAGCTACAGCAGAAACAGATTATTCCTCCGTCCAGGGTTAAAAAAAAAAAAAAAAAGGTTTTTACTATGTATAAAGCCCTTCTATTCTTTCTTTCTTTTCTCGTTTTTTTATTTAGTTATTTATTCTTTGACCTCAATGCTGCATTTCAAAATCAGAGGGATCATGTTCTTGTGATACAAATACCTTGGTTTTCTCAGGGACTACTGTTAGGTATGTTTTAGAGCAAGATAAGGCATCCTTTATTCGGTTGATTGGTGTGAGTGTTCTTCAAAGTGCTGCATCGTCTTTCATTGCACCGTCTTTAAGGTAATTTCAATGTCTCAGTATATTTGGCATACAAAGAAACCCTTGAGCATATTTATTGATACAAAACACATTGCTTTATACGCATGAAAGTTAAAAGTGAACATTCTGAAGACTCCATTAATAACCCTACTTAGGACCTTTTGCAAAGGATAACTCAATAATGTGCCGGGCCACGAGGTTGACTGAACTTAGGCTTCTGTTTAGTTTTGCTTCTCAGCCTGCGTCAATGTCCCAGGTACCACCATGCATTTGCATATGCTTCTGGTGACATGAGATCCAAATGAATTTTCTTATATAATATGTGTTCTTAAGATCTGTCTATTCCCTCATGACACATTGAATGCTGTGGCCCATGATTGGTTTTTCTGAGTGTGACTTCTGATAACATAATGCTATCATAAACCTTTAGATTATAGCAGGCCAAGTCCCTATTTCAATTTTTGACAATTTTTTTTTGGGAAGTTTATGATTTAAAGAAGTTCTTAATAAAGTGAACTGATGGTTTTGGTTTCTTTTGTGTTGCATGAGATCATTTTAATGATAGTTATATTAATGGTTTTAGGAAATTGGTTTGAAATGTGATTGTCATGATAATAAATGATTATCATAGTAGAGTGATTGGTTTTTGGACAGGCAAACAAATATTTGCTTGTATGGACGTTGTGTTGAGATGGGGTGATTACCAAGAAGCTTATAATAGAACTTGTATAAATCAATATAGTAGGTTTGTTTCCGAAGGATGAATTCCTAGGATAGCACGATAATCTAAATGGGAGTAGTTTCGGAGTATTTTAGTTACCTTACGTGTTTTCCTCTACGGAGTATTCAGCATTCTGGGGTGGATGGTTTAGTTGGTGACACTAGATGTTGCAGGCTTAGATTTCTAGCCAATCTAGTGGTCATGGATATGCACACTTATGATGTGATACTTTGGATGGATTAGTTATCACACTACCATGCCCAAATTGATTGTTACGATAGGTCGGTTGTTTTCACTATACCTGGTCAAGATATGTACATCGTTGCTATGCCACGTTCTAACGGGGTCACTAGCATTTATTTGTTCCACATGAAGGAGGAAACGGAAGAGGGGACTACTGTACCATTGGATTGCATACCAGTTGTACAGGACTTCATGGATGTTTTTCAGAAGATTCCAGGGTTGTCACCTAGTCGCGAGATCAACTTTGTTCTAGACTTAGCTCCGGGCACTACGCCTATTGCTAGGGCACCATACAGGATGGCACCAGTGGAGATGCGAGAGCTGAGGGATCAGATTCAACAATTACTCAGCCAGGGTTTTATTCGTAGGAGTACATCACCCTGGGGAGCACCAGTTCTGTTTGTGAAAAAGAAAGATGGTTCACTTCAGCTGTGTATAGATTACAGGGAATTGAACAAGGTTACTATTCGTAACAAGTATCCATTACCCAGGATTGATGATCTTTTTGATCAGTTGAAAGGAGTTACGTATTTATCTAAGATTGATTTGCGGTCTGGATATCATCAACTTCGGGTTCGAGAATAGGATGTTCCGAGGACAGCGTTTCTCACTAGATATGGATCTTATGAGTTTCGTGTGATGCCGTTTGCGTTGACTAATGCACCAGCAGTTTTCATGGATTTAATGAACAGAGTCTTCAGGGCTTACTTGGATTAATTTGTCATTGTCTTCATAGATGACATTTTGATTTACTCGCGATCAGAGGACGATCATGCTAGACATCTTCGAATAGTCTCAGATGCTTCGTGAGCACCAGTTGTATGCCAAGTTCGAGAAATGTGAATTTTGGCAGTGGGAGGTGAAATTTCTGGGTCACGTGGTGTCAGAAAGGGGAATAGCGGTGGATCCAACCAAAGGTGGTTGAGTGGGGACAGCCTACTTCACCTACCGAGATTCGGAGTTTTCTCGGTTTGGCGGGATACTATCGTAGGTTCATCCAGGGGTTCTCCAAGATAGCGGGACCACTCACTCATTTGACTAAGAAAGGTGTACGGTTCGTGTGGAATGAACATTGTCAGAAAGCTTTTGATGAGCTGAAGACTAAGTTGACCTCTGCACCGATTTTGTCTACCCCACAGAGCATGATAGAGTATCTTATCTACACAGATGCTTCGTTGCAGGGTCTTGGATGTGTTTTGATGCAGGAGGAGCGACCGATTTCGTATGGATCTCGGAAACTTAAGCCTCGTGAGCTTAATTATCCAACACATGATTTGGAATTAACAGCTGTGGTCTTTGTCTTACGCATTTGGAGGCATTATTTGTTGGGTGAGTCCTTCAGATTATTTAGCTATCACAAGAGTCTGCAATATTTGTTCACTCAGAGGGAGCTGAATATGAGACAGCGCAGATGGTTGGAGTTTGTGAAGGACTATCATTTCTTTATACATTACCATCCAGGGAAAGCGAATGTAGTGGCGGATGCACTCAGTCGCCGACCTGTTGCTAGCTTTTCCGCTTTATTCACTACTGCGTGGAATGCATTGAAGAAGGTTGATGAATTGTTGGATGCTTTCATGGCTTACATAGTAGTTACACCTTCTATCATTCACAAAGTTTTGAAGGCACAACTCACAGATTAGCAGTACATTGACAAAATTGCAGAGATAGCTTTCGGAGAGGTTCCATTTTACTATGTTAGGACTGATGGAGGTTTGAGGTACAAGGAACAGTTAGTGGTACCTTCTGCTGATGAGTTAAGGAAGGATGTGATGACTGAGACTCACCACTCTGAGTTTTCTGTTCATCCAGGAGGTAACAAGATGTATCAGGATATGAAGCGACAGTTTTGGTGGGCAGGTATGCAAAAAAAAGATATTGCTATTTTTGTCTCTCGAAGTAGTACTTGTCAGATGGTCAAGATTGATCATCAGCGGCCGCCAGGAGCTCTACAGCCACTACCGATATTGAAGTAGCAATGTGAGAGCATTTCTATGGATTTCGTGGAGGGATTGCCTAATTCCTTCACGGATCACAATTCCATTTGGGTCCAGAATTCATTAAGGATACTTCTGAGTAGATCGCTCTTATTAGGGATCGCATGCGTACTGCCCAGAGTAGGCAGAAGAGTTATGCGGATCGTCACACACGTGTTTTAGAGTTTCAGGTTGGGGATCAGGTTCTCCTCAAAGTGTCACCTATGAAGGGTGTCATGCGCTTTAGGAAGAAAGGGAAGTTGTCTCCGCGATTTGTCGGTCCATTCATGATTACGGATCGAGTTGGAGCTGTCGCTTATCGGTTGGCACTTCCGGATCATTTGGATCGCATACATAACGTATTCCATGTTTCCATGTTGCGGAAATTTCTGCGAGATGAGGATCGGTATCAGCATACCGAGGTTGGGGAGATTGAGCTGCAGCCGGATGCAACTTATTTGGAACCACCGTGTCGTATTGTCGATCGTCGGGATCAAATCCTTCGTAACAAGGTTATCCCTTTGGTTCGTGTCCAGTGGAGTCATCACAATGAGGCTAAGTCTACTTGGGAACGGGAGAATGTCATTCGCTCGCAGTTTCCTAAAATTTTGGAAGAAGGTAAGAGCGAATTCCGAGGACGGAATTCCTTTTGTTAGGGGGGAAGAATGTAATACCCCTAATTTCAAAAGGATAGTCCTGGTATTTCAATTATTGATTAAGTGCATATTTATTTGTTTAATAGTTTAATTGCTTGTTATTTTAATAAATTGAGTTTTAATTATTTAATTGACTTAATTGTATTTATGAATCTTGAATTAATTGTATTAATTAAATTCTTGGATTTAAACTGTTTCATTGTGTTTAAATAGTTATGTAATTGTTTTATTTAATTAGTGCTTTAACTGGTTAATTGTGTATTTAAATTTCATTACTTGATGCATTGTTTTAATTGAATTTAAATTTAATTGTTTTAATTATTTAACGTGACTAGATTATTTGGTAGCACGTATAGTTATAAATTAGGTTTTGCTCTATGGGCCAAGTAAGTTAGTTTAGGGTTTGATTAAACCTAGGATTAGTTTGGCCTATAAATATATGTATAAGGTTCTGCCAAGGGTTTTAGAACCCTACTCATGACTGTGGAGGCAGAGGGAGAACAGAGGAGGATTTCAGTAAGGATTACCGGAAACCTTAGGACGACGGCATTAAGATTTTGAACCAAAGTCTTATAGACAAGTTCTAATCCTAACTCTATTCCTTTGGCTCGTGTTCTTTGCATATATAATGCAACTCCAGGAATAAATAAGGATTAAAAGTAAACTGGTTTTCATGTCTCTGTTGTTTAAACTGAACATAGCCATGAGTTGTACTGCTTGTTTTATTAGTTTTCATTATGTAACTCATAAAGTAATTCACGGAACTGGTTGTATATTTCATGTAAATTGCTATATAAAGAATTGAGTTAGTCTGTAACACACTGGAAAGTATTAATGTTAATTTGGTTTGCATGTTTCGTATTTGCTTGTTTTACTTTTTTCTTGAATTTTTCTGTTCTAATTAGAGTGGATTTAAGATTAATGGTTTTAAAATATCTGGGGCATTGGAAACTTAATTTTAATTAGTAGAAACCATTAAAGTGAAGGACTGATAAAACTGGACGTCACCTGAGAAGACGCAGTTGAAAGAAACTAGCAGATAGGAGGAGAGGGGGAAGGAGGCGGCTCCATGGAATCATGGAGCCGGCTCTAAAGGGTTTAGAGGCAGCTCCAACATGTTTGGAGCCGGCTCAATCTTGGTTGGAGGCGGCTCCAACTTGTTTGGAGCAGGCTCCTTCAGGGTTTTTCAGTTTTTCTTGGTTTTCTGCGAGTTCTAGGCTACTGTGGTTGGATTTCTAATGTTCCAGGTTGATAAAGGAGTTGTTCTAGGGGAGCACAGTGATGTCTAAACCCTTATTAAACCTTCAGAAGGCATGGTAATACGTAAGATACCATAGGAAGCTAATATAGAAAACAGTAGAAAATTCTACAGAAAGTTTGAGTGTTGGCTTGGATGTGAATGATTCAAGTTGCTTATGTTTAAATTAGCAATTGACTTAAGGAATTCATGGTTTAAATCATGCTACAGTGTTATAAAAATAAGCATGCCAATTATGATAATTCTCTGTTATGCTTAATGGGAACTTAGTTGCTAACTATACAGTTTTGTATCTTATCAACTTACTGGATATCGTGGAATGGTTTAAAGTGAGCATGTTAATTCTGATATTGTTATTATTATGCTCATAGTGGATTACAGGATGGAGTATACCTATTCTCTGTGTTTTAAACTTAGTGGAGAATCATGTATCAGTAGTACAGAACAAGCATGTCATATGCATATTCTTATCATACTTGTGATGGATTCTTGTTATATTTGTTATGGACTAGTTGGTATTTACTTTCGTTATTAGTATTATCAACTGCTGGATGTTGGATTGCATGCACCGGTATGGGACAGTGGCATGCCTAGGTTTGGATTGGTTTCAAAATATTAAATCCTACCTACACGGAATAAGGGAATGGATTCTAAAATAAATCCTACTTATACTTAAGTCAAAGAAGCTGCACAAGCTGAATGACTAACTGAATTTCTTGTGGATGGATAGGATAGGACTTTAAATATATTTTTATGGTACCGCGATATGAGCTTGGGTCGCAGAGTCGACGGTTAGGGAGCGTATATGCAGTAGGATGCGTAGCTGGCTATATTGGTTGAGGTATACCCTGTTAGGCTTAGGTAGTCATGCCCACTCAGGTGCGTTTTGCATGTTGCCTTTTACTCAGGTTGAGACCCTCATCATAGTTCAGTGAGAGTCCTATAATGTGGCAACATGCAAAACATATATATATATATATATATATATATATATATATATATATATATATATATATACGGATTATATAGCTATTGTTGAGTTGGTTAGAATGTGTATGCGTATCGAGTCTCTGCTTGGATTGTAGTAGGATAGAACTTGTTCGTGGGCCTGACCCACTTCTATTTTTCAGGTACTCGTCAGTTTTAGACTTAGACTTGATCGTGCTGAGCAGAGACTACTACTCACTCTTCCGACGATGTAGGACTTCTTTCTATAGTTTCATTTCAGATGTTTTTTTAAGTATTTATACTTCAGTTTGGATTTTAGTATTAGGGGTCCATGAATGGATTCCCGAGTTGTTTAACTATTGGAGGTTTTGGAATTTTAAGTATTTAATTTTAAGGATTCTCTTTTAGATTTCTTCCAGCTTTTATTTTTTTCTTGTTTCATTTTGTATGTCGTGTTCATTTTAAATATTAATTGTTTGATATTCCCTCGAGTTTGGGCTTGGGCCTGATCAACCCGTATCTCGGATCCGAGGGGTATCAAACCTGCGGTCTACAATACGACATGGTGGTTCCACATAGGTTGCATCCGGCTATAACTCAATCTCACCAACTGTTCGCGCAGTTTTTTTCGGTTTTACACCAGTCAATGGACTTTTTTGCGGGCGTGCCAGAGTATTTGTATAAAACACTCAAAATATTGATTTGAATACCAATCTATCCCTTTTTCTGATGGCTGACTCTCAGGCAATTGTGTGGGAGAGAGACTAGTAAGAACTCCAAGCAAGGTTCTTTTTTGCCTTGTTTGCAACTAGGAGTTTTTATCTAAGGTGTTTAAAGAAATAAAAATTCAACAACAAGTAAAGTAATTTAAATGAACTGACTGAATTTAAATTGATTTTAAAATAAAGATGGCTGAAATGAAATGGACTGAAAAGTAATGGTGCAATGGAATAAAACAGGCCGAATTAAATTGATATAAATCTGATCAAAGATTTGTCATTTTGAATTCGTTGCATAAAACAAAGATTAAATTTGTAAATAACATAATTAAGCATTGCAAAAGAAGAATAAGTTACTGGAACTTAGTTTCTTCGAATGAAATTTGCCATTTAGATAAATGAATTGAAGATAAAGATGACGTTGAGTCATTTGATGAATTTTTGATTCATACTAATTTGTGATTGGTGCTGGACAAAATATTTAAAGATAATAAGATGACGTAGAGTCATTTGATGAATTTTTTATTCATGCTGATTTGTGAGTGGTGCTGGACAATTTGGAATAAGATTACCACTTTCCTATTTATAGAATTCTTTCTCAACTTATTTTCCTAACTTCTTGCAAGAAAATCTCTTCTTCCTTGATTTTCTTTCTCTTCAAAATTAAATTAAGTCAAAACTCAATATACTTCTGCTTCTCTTCATGGCTTGCCTTAGTAGAAAATCCTTGCTGAAACAAACTTCCTTGATTTAGTCACATGTAAATTGCCAGAACGTTGCTAAAAAGTTGCTAAAGAAGTTGCTAATTTTTAGCAACTCCTTTCCATAAGCTCGGCTGACATGTCTTCCTTAAATGGCCTAATAGCCATTCACAGCTTTTGAATTTATCTATAACTCCTGTGACTGCTCCTTCTTTTTTGGAATCCCTTCTCCAATTAAACCCCTATTTCATAGAGATATCTTTTTAGCTAAATCTCTAGTTTCCAGTTTAAACAACATATTTGAATTAATTCAAATATTAGTTACCAAATTTCAACAACAACCTTATTAGATAAGGTGGCTAAATTCTTAGATTTTTTCCTCTTGTTTCTCAATTGGCCGACTTTTCTTGAAATCATACTGAACACGTGTCGGCCCATCACTGGTCCACATCGCCGCTGAGGTGGCTGCCAAGTTTTGGTGCCAACAAATGCCCCCTAAATTTCAAATGTCTTATCTGTCACTCAGACCGATAAGATTTTTGGAATTTTTATAACATGAAAGAAACTGGCAGCCAGCAAGCTTCTAGACTTTATTTCTTCTGAGCCACCTCTAAGTTGGTCTTTATTTTGCGTCAGCCAGGGCTGGCCAATCCTAGTTCTTCAATTATTCCCACAGAGCTGGCTGATACCTCTCAAAATATTGGCCATTTATAAATCCATGATAGACCTCACCATTGAAGTTTCCCAATTCTGCTAGCAAGGTATGATCGTGATCGGCCGGGATCAAGTTGTTATGTAATGTCATTTGAGCCGATCTAACTGGCTTCTCTATTAAAAAAACAACATTTTGCCAGTATAGAGCTTTTTTAATGGCTGATCCTCTTGAATTTTTAAACTCCAATAGAGCTTCTGAAAGTATGTCATCCTATGTTTTTGAATAATCATCTTCTTTAATGACTTCAGCTATATCAACCGAAAATACCAAGAATAATATTTCTTCTGTGGCAGATTTTTTTTCTGCCGGATAAGCTTTTAGAATGTCAGTAGCCATGATGGCCTGACTCCTCCTTGATTCTTTATTTGGCACCTTAACAGCTGGCCGATGAAGCATTATCCTTGGCCAAAATACCTTTTTGATTAACCCATCAGCCAAACTTCTTTTCATTGTGGCCGATACTGGTCGCCCCATTTTATTTGTTCTTTTGAACAAAATAAAATTCTCTTCGTGTAGTACTGCATCGGCCACATAAAATTTATCATTAAATGGCCGATTTATTTTCTTCCACATATTTCTCTTCAACTTAACCTTTTTTTAATTTCCATCCCCGCTTTCTTTTCTTGAAATTCGGTTGAGGTCGAAGAGCTAAAAGAATTCTCTCAGCCAGTGATGGTTCTGGCTGAGGATTAGATACCACCTCGGCCAAGCATTTTAGGAATCTGGCCGATTTGATCCTAAAATTCTTTTACCTTGATAAGAAGTGAATCTCTCTTGAACACTTCTGCTAGAAAACCGAGTTTAGAATTTTATTTTATGAAAGAACTTAATTTTACCTCGGTTAATTACCTTCCACTGAGGGCAGCAACCATTTTGTATGAGAGCCTTGACATTTGGAATGGCTGATGGTGTACTCTCAACAACCTTAGGCTGATTCCTTTTATCAACCTTCCCTTTGGGAGCCTGGCCGATCACATTACTACTTGCTATGAAAAGATCATTGTTGACCGCATGACTTCATCATCCGCTCCTTTTTTGGCCGATACAGTAGATGTTCGAGTGCCGAATGTGTCTGATTTTGGCTTTTTGTACATTAGTTGGCCTATTCTCCTAAGGCCATTACCATATTCTTCTTAATAATATCAGCCACCTGAACATTATCGACCGCCATTGGCTGATTAGGATGATCAACCAATGGTCGATCTTGATTTACCACTAGCAGCTGATTGGCCATCGACTGGCCCCCGAGTACCAAAGGTTTTGGCTGATATACCACTGGCGGCTGATTTTTCACCAGTGGCTGATTATAAATCGGCCAGCCTTCTGGCTGATTAGCAATCGGCTGCCCCCCGAATATCGAAAGTTGCGGTATGGAAGCAACAGGCTGATATTCTGGCTATTCTTGTTGCGATTGATTTGCCACTGGTGGCTGATTATAATTCGGTTAGCCTTCTGGCTGATTATTCATTAGCTGCCCCCCGAGTCCCGGCTGATGTACCATTGGCGGCTGATAATAATTCAGTCAGCCTTGTGGCTGATTAGCCATATTCTGCCCCCCAAGTCCAAAAGGTTTTGGTTGATATACCACTTCTGGCTGATTTACCGCAGGTGGCTGATTGTAAATCGGCCAGCCTTGATGTGATTGATTTATCACTGGCGGCTGATTTTCCGCTAGTGGCTGATTATAAATCGGCCAATCTTTTAGCTGATTAGTTATCGGCTACCCCTCGAATCCTACCTGATATACCATTGGCGGCTGATTATAATTCGGCCAACCTTCTGTCTGATTATCCATCAGTTGCCCCCCGAGTTCTGGCTGATATACCATTGGCGGCTGATAATAATTCGACTAGCCTTTTGGCTGATTAGCCATCATATTTGGTTGAAGCAGAAGCATCGGCGGCCACGACTGTGATGGTTGAGCATTCACTACCGGCTAAACAACTTGTGATGAAATCGGCTGAGTGGCCGATTCCTGATTGCAAAAGCTCCCAGCCTAAGCCGGCCTATTGATAATGGCGGTTAAAAGCTGAGATATTGTTTCGTGCGGGTCGTTTTGACTTACACTCATTCTTCCCATCGCCTTTAACAAAGAGCATAACTGTGTTTGAACCATTAATACTTTTGATGGTATAACTAGTTCATCCACTAGGCCCAAGGTAGAGCTACCAACCTGAGCTGGTTGATGTTCTTCTTTCGGATTTTCTTCAGTGGCTACGACCTTTCAATTTTTCGTAAGCCGTGGCATTTTTGCTTCTTCTAACACCCATTAGTGGTCCCACCAGGAGTGCCAAAATATGTTCGCGCGGTTTTTTCGGTCTTACGCCAGTCGATGGACTCTTTGCCGGCGTGCCAGAGTATTTGTATAAAACACTCAAAATGTTGATTCGAACACTAGCCTATCCCTTTTTCCGATGGCTGACTCTCAAGCGATTGTGTGGGAGAGAGACTAGTAAGAACTCCCAGTAAGGTTCTTTTATGCCTTGATGCATGGACTTTTTATCTAAGGTGTTTAAAAGAAGTAAAAATGCAATGAAAAGTAAATGAAAATGAACTGGCAGAATTGAAATGGACTAAAAAGTAAATTGGCCGAATTAAAATAAACTGAAAAGTAATGTTTGTAATAAAATGGACAGGCCGAATTAAAATGACATGAATTTGATCAAAGATTTGTCATTGAATCCATTGCATAAAACAAAGATTAAATTTGTAAATAGCATAATTAAGCATTGCAAAAGAAGAATAAGTTACTGGAACTTAGTTTCTTCGAATGAAATTTGCCATTTGGACAAATGAATTGAAGATAAAGATGACGTTAAATCATTTGATGAATTTTTTATTCATGTTGATTTGTGGTTGGTGCTAGACGGTTTAAAATAGGGTTACAACTTTCCTATTTATAGATTCTTTCTCAACTTATTTTCCTAACTTCTTGCTAGAAAATCTCTCCTTCATTGATTTTCTCTCTCTTCGAAATTAAACTGGGTCAACACTTGTAGCATTCCGCATGTTATGTTGGAGCTTCCCTTTTATATCACAACTAAACTTCCTATAAAATAGGAATTTAGTTGTTGCCTTTCAATCAAACTCTAGCCCTTCTTCCTTTATGTTAATAGCCCAATTTGAAATAGTCAACCATTAGTTGCTAAAATTTAGCAACTTCCTTGTAAGCTTGGCAGTCAAACAATATATCAAATATAATTCCACGCGTCGCCTATTTTTCCTCCAATAATTTCCATGTGGCCAATCCTCATGGTACCATGTTGAAAATATTTG